AAGCGTGTATGTTTTTGCACTAGTTTTAATGCAAAACCTTCTGTTTTAAAAGCCTCCAACCACCACGTCTCTCCACAGTCGAATTTGAAAAGCTCGTCTTTGGTTCTTCCAAGGACACAAATCAGCCTCATGGCCAGTGTTTGCGTCACAATAATCTTTAAACCGTTAAACCTGCCGCCTTCATGCTTGGAGGGAACATCACGTTTCGACCTGAGGGGCTGACGGGTGATCTGTACCTGCTGCTCTTGATGTCTCCTGGGCTGGACGTCTCGATTTCTGGACAGATCTTCCTCAGCATGTCGCAGTAATTCAGGGTTTTAAACTGCGTAGGGCACACTACAGCTTTGCACCCAACCTGCGAGAAAAAAAAAAAAGGAGCAGAGAAGTTAAACTTTCACGTGTCACACATATGCATGTGTCTCTGTGTCCAAGAATTAATAAAAAGAAAACATAATCAGGCTGGGAAAAAAAAAAAAAAACTGCTCACCTTCTGCAAGGCAAACTCCACCTCCTGCATCTGGTATGCTGGGTTCACAGCCACCTGTGGAAGGTAAACATTAGGAAGGAGACGAAACTAGAGCTTTCAAGAAACTAAGTTTCATCTTTATCATCTTCAGTAGGCATCTCTGTGAAGCATGGCAGACAGAAAGCATTGATCTGCAGTCCAGTGTCCTCGTCAATAACTTCCTGAGGGTCAGGGCTGGCAGACCACGCCACCTCTTGGCGTCTGGCTCACACAGCGGGACTTTTGCAGAGCTAGAGATCCATCTAGTTTCCTGCTTATCGGGGTCCACAACTTAGACCCACTGAACAGGATTTCCTTAACACATAAGTGACATGTGTGAGGTATCTGAAGGCATCTACACGACTTTAGCCAGTCACCTGCGCCCTACTTAGTTTTCACCCTTACCAAATCTCAATACTGCAACATGCCCAGCTTTAACTCACCAGTATAATCCCAGCTTTGGCTGTTGCAAACTGGAACAGGACCCACTCATAAGTGTTTGGTCCCCACATGCCGAGCCGGTCTCCTTTCTTCATTCCGAGCGCCAGCAGCCCGGCTGCAGCCTGGTCCACCTGCAGAGACACAAACAACTCTGTGCAGTGAGCCCATCAAACATCCAGGGGATGCTGCAGGTCCAAAGATTACTGTGCTTTACATTACGCCAGCAACAGAGCAGTCTGCCATGTTTCACACACGTCACAATGAAAAGCTACAGAGAAAGCACCGATAGTGTTAGCAAAGCAACATTTCCATGTGACAACTACAGTTTTCTTCCCTTTCAAATAAAGAAAACAGCTGTTTAAAGTAATTTATGGAAAGTCAGGTTTTGGGACTCAGCACGACTGAAAGAGCCACAGCCAACACCTGATTGGCTGAAACATACAGGAACTACCCTCACTTTTCATACATTAAAGAGTGTTTTTCTTTTTTAAATGGATAATGTTCCTCATGAGTCATTTAAGATCCTGTCATGAGGATATTAATTTAACAAAACCCCTTTCTAGCTTTGCTATAAAGCACTCAGGCAGAGCCAGGCATAGGAAGATATCAGAAACTCAAACACATTCTCTTTTATGTTATGAAGGGAGAGCGTTGGAGAGCTGCCAAGTAGAGCAGCAGCAGTAGAGGTATCGCCATAAAATGCATACTGGGATTGTACTGTGTGCCAAATTAATGCAAACAGTCTGTGGTGCTGCTGTGAGTTTGATCAGTGACTTTTAGACTTGCATGTTTACACTAAACATGTCCTGCACTCTCTCTCGGTTTCTTTCTCTCTGATTGTGTAATAAAAGCATGAACATGTATTTATAAGT